ACGCTTCCCATTCGTCAAGATAAATATTTTCAAAATTTTCCTAACTTGTCATTGTTGATGTTCAGTTTTAACTTTTCTCAGAGTTTAAGCCAAACGCGAAGTTTCATCTAGCGATGACGTCAGCACCGTGACCGGCGGTGTGTGGCAGTGATTGCTCCCCCACGACTACCTTCTTCATATCGCCGTCGTCCTGGCGGCCGTAAGGCGCTCTTGTTTTGTCTGTCTATCATACGCGGCGAGGGGAAGTCACCCCGCACGGATTTTTCCGCCGCGGGCGGAGAGAGGAGGGGAGGGAGGGGGCTGTGTTACGAGTGTAAGTCGTCCTCGGGGATCCACGGCGGCCAGCTTGAGGGCCTGGGGCGGCCCGGACCAGGGCGGCTCCCAGGGGCCGGGCACTGCTTGGGCAGTGACGGAGTGGAGGCCGCCGTTCACCTGCTGCCCCCCCCCCCTCCCCTCCCCCTCGCCCGCGAAGAAAGACGCGGAAGCGAAAGCGAGTTGCAGCAGAGGAAGTCAGTCACCGGACTCTGGGGCCTGCTTCTCCTGCGCCCGGAGCTCACTGCCACCCTCGCGCCGCCGAAGCGCGCGCCCGGACCTCCGGACCGCATCCCCCGGCGGAACGGCCCGGCAGGGGCAGGCCCGCCAGCCCTGCGCGTCGGTCAAAGTTTCCCTCAAAAAGAATACAGAGTGAGATCAAGTGTAATGACCGGTCTCTGCCGTGCGCGGTGCGGTGCCCAGCCTCGCCGGCAGGAAGCGTCCGTCGCCGTCCTCGGCCCGTCCTCGGCCCGTCCCGTCCCAGCCGCCAGGCCGCCCTGAAGGCCCCGCTCCCCTAGAGGCTGTTAGCATTCGACCTTCCCTCCTTATCCCTCGCCGTCGCGCCGTCGCACCCAACAGGAAATGGTGGCCAGAAATCACGGACGGGGAGGCGCCGCGGGGCGTGGCGGGGCGTGGCGGGGCGCGGCGGGGCGCGGCGGGGGCCGCCGGACAGCGATTCCTGGCGACGCGGCGGCAGCCTTCGCTTTCATTTGGAGGCCATGAACGACCCCAATACGACGGTACCTTGGCTCGCGCGCGTGCGTTATTGTGCCGTGTGGACAAGGCGATATTGCCCTCCGACTGCCCGGGGCCCTTCTTGGCGGCGGACGGCGCGGACGACGCGGACGGCCCCCGGCGCCACACCGCCGCGCCCCGCCGCCCCGCCGCCCTGCCGACCGTTATTGTTGGTTTTATTTAAGCAAACAGACGTGTTTTCGCAGCGGCCTGCATCGCAAAGGGCGGAAGGGACGCGCCGCGCCGCCAATATCGCGGACTGTACGGCGGCGGACAGGCACCTTGCCCTTCCAAAGGGCCAAAGGGTTCGGCATTGTGGTGCAGTACCCTCTCCCTTGGTCAGCCACCTTACATAACAATAAAAGGGAATATAAAACACGGGCGATACCGCGGAATATCAAGTGATGTCCAGCTGACATTCGACTCGGCCCTCTCGGCGGGCCGGTGCGGCGCGGCGCGGGGTGAGCCAGGATGGCCCTGGAGGGACCGGGCCGAAGCCGCGTGTCCGGTGTCCGACGTTTTGGAGGCTTGGACACACTGGGAGGAATAGCAGAGCTGGCTCCTGCAGACTTGTTCAGAGAGCCGCTCTCGTTGCTCTGACTCTCTCAGACTTGCGGGGCGTCCCGTGGAGGTGCGAGAGAGACAGGGCGACGAAGCTGACTCTCGAAATCCGTCTGCTGGCGCGCTCCTCCAGTCCTTGCCCGGTGTGGCGCGCTGGCGCGTCGTGGGCGAGTAGTGAGCCGACAGTGCTCAGGCAGCAGTCCAAGGCGCCGCCCAAAAATGGCTGCGGTTCAGCAAACCGGGCGTCCGACTTGCCCGCTACACTGGCTGTGCCGCGCCGCCGCGCCGCGCCGTGTGTTTGGAGGTATAAGAAGCGAGGAGCGCCACATGCATTACTGCCAGAGATTTGTTGCGAGGTTTCCCCCCACGGACGGGTCACTCGCAAGCGCCTGGCCTCGCCTGGCCTCGCGCGCGCCGGAGGTTGCCAAGAAACGCCCGCCGTCGTCCGCGCGCGCTGCTAGCGTTTTTACGCGCGCACCCCCAAGGAGTGTCCTCTGCCGCTGTGTGAGTGTGTGTGTGTGTGAGTGTTTGTTGCATCGGCACTTTGGCGGCCGCCCCGGAAAGATTAACGTCGTACCTTCGTCAGGCGTATCTGGCTTTATTTATGCAGTTTATGTCCGCAGATGCAAATGCTAAGCCAGGCGCGCGCGCCACTGGATGTGCGGACCACTGTGTGTGTGTTGCGTGGCAGCGATGAAAATGAGACACAAGGGAGATCATAGGTTGGCCAGGGGACGCAGAGCCCCCCTGCGTGTGTGTGTGTGTGTGTGTGTGTGTGTGTGTGTGTGTGTGCTGTGTTATCAGTGCGCCCAGTGGCGTTATTTATTAGCGTTTCCCCTTTCACCGGTCCGCCCTCTTTAATCGCCTTTCACCGGGGTCGCCTGCAGACTGGGAGCACCGCTTTCGTCGCTCTGTCTCTCTCGCACTCATGGGGCGCTCCGTACAGGTGCGAGAGAGACAGAGCGACGAAACACCCCTTACTTCGGAATGAGACGCCTGGTCGGCCACCCCCCACTGACGTGTTTATGAAGCGAGCGTTCTCTGCGAGGTCGGCCACCAAAAACGACGCGGCCGCCCAGAAAGCCCTTTCCATTCATTTGGGATGAAAAAGAGAGGAATGCAGACAGTTTCTTCACCCACAGAGGGAAGATAAAGGGTGGGGCACCGCAGGGCTACGTGAGACGAGGTGGCCTTTGCACCGCGTTGTTGATAAGTGTGGCGGGTTTGACGGACTCGTCGAAGACCGGCCTGTGGCCGTTATCACCGTCTCTTTTTAGAACCCCGAACGGAAGAGGTACCCACTACACTACTGTGAAACCAATGAGACAATGACTTCGTGTGCGATGCACTCGACTAACCAATTTAAATTAATTATTCCCTTCTCTGGCGGTCCATTCGTGTTCTTCAGACTGCGACAAAAGTCACCTCGTCCTCTTCCGACAGCGAGGTGCAATTTATGGCCTCCATTCATTATCAAATCCTCTCTCTCTCTCTCTCTCTCTCTCTCTCTCTCTCTCTCTCTCTCTCTCTCTCTCTCTCTCTCTCTCTCTCTCACGCGCGGGCAGCAGAACGCCCACGCCAGGCCAATCGATATATCGATTCGATCGGATCGGATGTGACCGCGGCCGCATATCGTTTGACACAGACCGCGGGCCTGTCGGCCTGTCCACCGCAGGCAGGCCGGCCACAGGCAGGCCCACTGCCCATTCGTTCATTCATTTGCAAATTTCCGTTGGAAGTCGCGCTAGGTGGAGGGGGGAGTGTGTCTGTGCGAGCGAGACTGCGTGACAGAGAGAGAGAGAGAGAGAGAGAGAGAGAGAGAGAGAGAGAGAGAGAGAGAGAGAGAGAGAGAGAGAGAGAGAGAGAGAGAGAGAGAGAGAGAGAGAGAGAGAGAGAGAACGCCAGTAGGGCAGCAGTGCGGTTTCGCCACACACGTGCATCGCGCACACGCATTGTCCGCGATTTCGTTGTTTTTGTTGGTGATTTTTACTTGTTTTACCGCAAAGGCTTCTCGTTGCGCTGCTCATTCCAGCCAGAGATTCAGCACTTGTCCGAGAGATGGCGCTGCTCGCAATGTGTGACTGCAGCAGTGGTGCACCGCTAGGCTTTTGTCAACGGCCGGGGGAGACAGTGGTTGCAGTGCTTGCAGGCAGATGCAGGTCCTGATGCAGGTAGGGGGAGCACTGGGCGAATGATCGCTCCGCCACGCGACGCACCTCCGGCACCACCTTCTGCGGCACGTGCCGGGACGACCAGGGACGACCAGGGACGACCGCGCAGAATCGCAGCAGTCAATCGAGAGAAAAGTCGTTGCGACGAAAATTCGACGTTTGACCCACGTACACACACACACGGCGGTGCACGCTCAAAATTTCAATGACACACCTTGGCCCTTTCCTGCGGATTCCACAAATCGCTTCCGGAGACCCCCGGTAACAATAGGGTACTTTCGTAGAATCCTGAACCGGAAGCAAGCAGACCAGCAGACGCCAAATTGGCCGGAAACTAACCTCTCTTCGGATCCAAAACTATACCCGAGGTCAAATATTGCTCGCGAAACACAATGCACTGCAAACAAGTATCAAAAATGTTTATTTTCAGTGTGGCCGATACGTTTGACGAACGTCTCTTTCCCATGTCAAGTTTGGGTCTACTTCCGCCAACATGGCGTCTGTGTGCTTCCGGTTCAGGGATCTACGAAAGTACCCTATTGGCGTGAAAACTAAAATCCGCGGACCGTGAGGATTGCTTATCCAAACGTTTCATTCCACCTTCATAAAGCGCACGGGGCAGGGGGAGGGGGAGGGAGGGGATGTCAACTAGAAAAGGAGGGGAGCGGAACAACAATACCGTCTCGTTGTGCTACATGGGGGAGGTGAAGGGGGGTGTGGGAAAGAGAGCCGCGCGCCCACCGTGCCCATGTGTCGCACGGCCTGGACGCCGCCGGCCGGCACGGTCTCCACGGCTTGCGGAGGCGCTTTCGTCGCTCTGTCTCTCTCGCACTCGTGGGGCGGCCCTTGTGGGTGCGAGAGAGACAGAGCGACGGAAAGCGGCTCTCGGACTCGAAATCAGTCCGCTGTGGACGGCGCGCGCTCATGAGAAAGGGTGAAGCAATGGCTTCGCTGTTGGGGCAGGGAGCGTGGCGGCGACGAGGACAAGAAGAACAAGAAGAACAAGGAGGGCAGGGCGAGGAAAGGCGCCGTGAAGCGAAATTGACAGCGGAAAAACGGCGGGGTTTAAATGGAAACAAAAACCCGCCTCGCGACTCTCTCCTGCGAGGACAAGTTGGGACCAGTTTGAACTTGCGCGCCGCCCGCCGCGACCCTGAGCCCTGCCGCCGGCCGGCCAGCCACGGCGTGCCGTGCCGCGCCGCTCGGCAGCCCGAACGACAGGCGACGAGCCACGCGGTGTGAGTCGAGAGCCGAAGTTGAGTCCACCTGCCGAGCCGAGCGTCGTGAGTTGTCGTGAGTCGTTCGTGGCCGCCGATTCAAAACAAACGTCGTCATCATCGAACGCTGTCTGTTGTTCAAAAGGAGAACATCCGATTACAGTTCAAGATGATTCAAGACACCTCAGTCGACATTGGCAGCAAGGTTAGTACCCGTCCAGGTTGGGCACACCACTGTTGACGACCGTTTCGGAGAGTCTTTCGTCGCGCCGTCTCTCACACTCATGAGGCGTCTCGTATGGACGTGTGAGAGCGAAATGGCGACAGAGACGACTCTCGGGATCGGTCTGCTGCTGTGCCATTGTTTTAGCGTGATGACCGAACGGGCCGCCTAACCTCAAACCTACCTCCTACCACCGTACCACGTACCCGTCCGCGCCACTGCGTGCTGCTGTCTGCCGCCGGGGAGGCGGTTCCACGACGCCGCACCACCTTTCGGTTGACAGTGTAGGGGCAGCGCGGGGTGCATATGGGGAGACTGCACCCTCGGCGTGGCCGTGCCGTGCCGTGCCGTGCCCGCCTGGCCTCGCCTGCACCCGTAATCTTCCCAAATCCTCACACCTCAGTTGATTGTGCTGCCGATTCGGTTCGGCGTCGCGACGCCGCCACCCTGGGCCGCCACCCCACCTCCCCCACCCCCGACGCACGATGCACCGCGACGGCGGCCGCCACGCCGTGATAAGCCGAGCGAGCCGAGTGAGCCGAGCCGAGCCGGAGCTAAGTCGGGTCCTGTTGTGTCGCCGGCGCGGTGCGCGTGGCGGAGTGGAGCTGTCATACGCCGGGACGGCCTGGCCGGTCAGCTGGCGCCGCACCGCGTGATGGTATCGCCGCGTCACCGCCAAGACGAAGAAGGGATACGTCATCCCGGCGCGTGGCGCACCGTCCGTCCGTCCGTCCAGCCTCTTGTTGTCCTTGCTGGCGTCGATGTTGTTGCCGGCCAGCTCTTTATTGGCAGGCTGGCCGGCTACCTTGGCTTCCCCGCCACTGCCTCCCCCTGTCAGCTTACCGCTCGCGTGAAATGTTCTTATCGGATCGTTTGGCCACGGAGTGCGCGGGCGGCGCGGGCGGCCCGGCTGGGGTGGCGAGGCGCGGGGCCCGCATGCTGCGCTGGGTGCACGCCGCGCACGTAATGACCATCAAAGTGGACCAATCGACGGGCCGCCTCGCCTCACCTGTCAGGACTGACTGCGGCCGCCGCACCGCGCCGCGGGGAGCGCGCCGATCAAATAGGGGTACACGGCAAAGCAAAGCGCCCGATGCTCTCGACGGCCAGCCCAGCGCTCTCGCGGCCCGCGGCGGAGGGAAGGAAGGAGGACGGCGGCGGCACCACTCAGCGCCCGCCCCCTCCATGAAGGCCATCTGGCCGCACGGTGCCGCGCGGTGCTCCAGGTCGCCAGAGACTACTCGATCGGCACAAAACAGCAATCAGCACAAAGGGGGTAAAACTGCGGGGGTGAGCCGTAAAGCAGCAGTGCTGCAGCATCGCCCCGGGCAGGCCGGCGGGCAGGACGGCGGGCCACAGTGGGCCAGAAGCCGGTGGAGGCGGCCAAAACTCTAGAGGCGTTTTGAGCTCCAGCGTCGCTAAATGGGACTCGAACCGAACGTGTGACCCCACCAATGGATTCCTCGTTCGCAGAGCAATCCATTGGTGGGGTCACACGTTCGGTTCGAGTTCTATAGAGCGGCTCTGGAGCTCAAAACGCGTCTAGAATTTTGGCCGCTCCTCCGGTCTTCTGGCCCACTGTGCGGGCCGCGGCACGCGCGCAGATGTGTGCGCGATGCACGTCCTTTCAGCGCAGTCCCCTTGCTGCTGCGCGAGCCGCGCGGTGCAAAAGTGAACAGATGTGCGTCCGCTAACGGACACCTCGCACACCCTCACCGTGCCCGCCGTGCGCGCCGTGCCCGCGCCGCCGGCAGACCTGTCGCCCTGGGCACGCTGCACTGCAGGCTGCACTGCGGGCTGGGGCTGGTCCAAATCATGGCCAGGGGCCTGGGGCGGCCGGGGGCGGCCCTGCGCCTCGTCGCGAGGGGGAGGGTGGAAGAATAGGTGGATGTTTAACCGTCGCTGTTGGATCAGCCGGCGCAGCGGCCAGGTGGTGGGGACTGTACCGCGGGCTGTGTTGCTGACGCGGACTGTACCACTTTGTGGCCCCTCGCAAGTCAGGTAGTGGACTGTACCGCGGGCAGCACTGCTCCACCCTTTTCGCTGCAGCGGCCAGGTGGCAGACTGTACCGCGGGCTGCACTGCTGGGGCGGACTGTACCGCCCTGCCCCGCGCACAGGTGCGGCCGCACTGCAGTGGCGCGTGCCCCAAGTGCAATTGAGACGGCAGTAAAACTGCGCAAACTTTCTCGCCGCCCTTTCCTTGTCCCGGTTCCCGACGGTTCCCGGGGGTTGGGTTGCCGGGCAGGCAGGTTGCGGCGTGCTGCGCTTGCTCGGCGTGCTCGGCAGATGTCGGCGCGGTGCACCTGGGGGAGGCTCTCCGCCGCGTCCTCTGGGAGTCCCTCATCCCGGCTGATCGGCATCGCCACTGTGCGGAATCGTTGTTCATCATTCCGCAGTCGTAGGTGGCGGTGCATGCGGTGCACTGGCGGCAGCGTGCCATAAAAGAAGCTAACGCGGTTTTCGGCCGTTGGAGTCGCAGCGAGGGGGTGAGCGACGATGGGGGAGGGAGGCTGGCCGCGGTGCTGCCCGGCGACGCGGCGGCGCGGCGACGCTCAGGGGTGCAAATCAGCGGCGGTGCCGCGCCGTGCATCTGGCCGCGTACAGCCTCGGCCAGCACCGCCAGCGCGCGGGGCCAGCGCGGCGGCGCGCGACCCTTACCGCCGCCGGCGGCGTCCCTCGCGGCGCGCACTGCCGGCGCGGACTGTACCCGCCACGCCGCCACGCCACGCGGTGCACTGATCGCGTCGCACCCCTGGACCACGCGACCTGCAGCCCTGCAGCCGGGCCAGACGCGCGCCACCTCACCGTGTCCCCTCCCCGCGGCCTGCCGGCCTGCCCGGCCCTGGCCTGGCCTCCCCTCGCGGCGCGTCACCAGGGCCGCGTCCGGGAGGCCGGCAAGCCCGTGGCGACGGCGGTTCGGCGGCCGCGAGCGCCAGGGTCGCGTCGACGCGCCTCGGACGCAGCCCGCACAGCCGCCACGGCTATGACTTCTCACGCGTCTCGCCGTCCTCGCCGTGCTCGCCGTCTACGTGGCACGCGCCTAATCCCGTCCTAATGGCCGCCATTATTCTCGGCAAGACGACGGCAGCGCCTCGCGAGGTGCGGATGACCTGCTCGCCGAAGAGGGCGCCACCAGCGGGACGGGAACCAGCGAAGTCGGCGCCCGCAAGCGCCGCGAACGACCCGGATCGAGGCCAGGTTGGCAACGGGCAGTGGGCTGATGCACCGACTCGGGTGAATCCAGAGACGGGATCAGGGGGGGCGATATCGCAAAAGTTGCCTAGCTACAGGGGCTAAGTGCGACTAGTTGCCTACCTTTCAGGCGGCCCGGACACTGGTTCGTCGCTGCCTCTCTCGCCCCATGAGTGCGTGCGAGACAGAGGCACGTTTCGGTATCGGTGCGTGCAGTGTACCGACGGTGCTCGCCAAAGGTTCATCGCGGTGCTCGCGCGTGCCCCGCAGTCGAAGTGACGCGTGCCGTGAGTTGTGACAGCGGCCACCGCTTTTTCCTCGGCGTCGTTACAATCTTTCCCTTGCCGATCCCCCGCACCGTGAACACCGCGCCTGCTGGCCGCTGCCGGCCGAGCACTCTCGTCGCTCCGTCTCTCTCGCGCCCAAGGGGCGTTCCGTCGGGGTGCGAGAGAGGCGAGAGCAGTCTTCGGAATCGGCCCCCAGGCGCACACGCCGCGCGCACACGACGCACCCCTGTGCTGGCCAGGTTGGAACAGGGGAGGGGAAAGGGGAAGGTTAGTTTACATTTGCCCCGCGGGGTTGACAATGGGACGGGTTTTTGTTCGTGTCATTGCTCCCAAGCGCACATCAAGCCGCGCTTAGCCCGGCTGGCGTCAGTAACCCCGCGGACTACCACCGGCACACACACACGCCGACAGACACGCACACAGACAGACGGACACGCTTACAGTGCGCGCACGGGCCAGACAGGTTTAGCGCAGATAAAGAAGGGAAGAAAGAAAGTGAGTTGATTGTCTGGTTTGCTGCTCACCTCGGGGCGCGCCCATGTGTCGTCCCAGCTGTCACCCTCCGGGCCTCCAAGGTGCCCGGCGGGATGCTGGCCGACCAGGGGGTGCGCTCTCTCTCACCTTCTCTCTCTCCTCTCGCTTTACAAGCGTGCCAATCTGCGGGTACATCTCCGATCCGGGAGGTGTCGCGGAGATAGCGGAAACAATAGCAAATGCAGTGAACGGAAAACTAATTTCTAATTTCTTTTTCCGGAGAAAAAGAAGTTTGAAATTGTCGAGTATTTGTGGGTGGGCGTCGCGTCGCCGCTATTAGCGCGAGGCTGTGCTGTGCTGGCTGCTGCACACGGTTGGGCCGCGCCGCCACCCTCCGCCACGACACCCACCCCACCCTGTCGCACCCCTGAGACGTAATCCAGGAATGCAGATGGCAACGACGTCTGGCGGGGCGGCGGGGCGGGGGCGGGCGGGCGGGGCGGGGCGGGGCGGGCGGGGCGGGGCGGGGCGGGGCGGGGCGGGGCGGACGGCCTCATTGCGGGGATCTCGCCGTCCTTGCGGCTTGCCGGCCCATTGACGGCCACCTCGGCGGCGCCCTGGCGGCTGGCAGACACCTTTATGGACCCCGGCCCACGGCGGCCCACGGCCACCTGGCGAGGTGCGAACCGCCTGCTCACCACCTGAATGATGACGGGGTCCTCTTGGAGGAGCCGGCTGTTGTTTTATGGTGCGGTTGGGTTGGCACACCTGGGCGCCTCACCTGCGAGTCCCCTGCCCGGCGCCCCGCCACGCGACCGCGGAGACTTGGACGCGCGGCGAGGATTCGAGTCTCTCCTTCGGCTCGGCCCAGCTGGCCGAACAGGCCGAGCCGCTGATGAGAATCGTGGTCGAAGTAATGGCGTTCCACTATTTGGCCGTGCAGTTGTTCCGGGCCGCGAGGGCCGCGACGCCGAGGGTCGGCGCCCAAATGTAGTCCCCACCCCCGCGCCGCGCCGCCACCGCCACG